TTCCTGGTTCCTGGTCGTCTGCCCACCACGCGTACCTCTTTGACGGGTTCGCTGTCTTGTTCCTGAAGACGGTGCAGCAGGAGAGTGGCCGGTACGAATAGGTTCAACACCAGGCTCAACTAAGTTGGGGCTAGTGGGTGGCGCAACAAAATCAGATGTGTCTAATTGGGTATTGGGTGTCGCGACAGCGGAAGTGTCGGCGACCCCAGGTTCCGTGGATTCAGCTTTTGGATTAGAAACTTCTAGGGCTCCTAAGGGGGCTGATTCTACACTTACACCTGGGTTATCTGTCGCGACAACGGTTGTGTCAACGACCTCAGGTTTAGCGGATGCACAGGCTGGTTCGGATGCTTCTTGGGATCCTACTGCAACTGGCTCTACACTAAGACCTGAGTTTTGGGTCTCAGGTTGGACGGATGCTGCAACTTCGGATGTGTCGGCTTCAGGACTCTTGGGGTCAACCTCAGCTTTGACAACGGCTGCAACAATTGCGTCTTCACCTAAGTTAGTTGTTGGAGTACCTTCAGTTTGATGGGCAGCTTCAATGACGGCTTCAGTAGAGGCTGGACCAAGTGTCTGTTGATCTTCTTCCTGTTTGACGGTCTCCAGACTGTTGCCGGCGTTTTGCAATCCAGAAACCTCAGAAAAAGTTATTTCACCAGAAACCTCGTCCGTCGCGGTATTATCACCAGCGACCTCCACTGAAAAATTGTCGGCTGCTTCAACTTGTGCTTGTTCTGACAGGATCGACGGAAATGTAAGACGGTTCTGACCTTCTTCCCCCACTGGACCTGAGTCTGTAAAGGCAGCCTATGCTGTGGCAGGGTCTGAAACTTGGTTTGCAAGATCCGTCGCGACGTCTTCGTCAGCGACCCCGTCAGGCAAGAAAAATGTTGAAGGCACAACACCCGAGCCTGATGTCTCCTGATGTAGCTCTTCCTTCACGTCTGTCAGATGTCCTTCGGCTCGATCTGCAGAGGTGGGTGTCTCACCACAAGACGGCACGGGCGATAAAATATCCTCAGATAGATCCGCCCAGTTTCGGGATGCCGCGGTGCCCGGTTCAGCAGTTGGTGGATTAAATTTCTCAACACCTTCTGCTTCCCCTAGAGCGTTGGCTCCTTCCACTGGTGTTCCCGGTGTCGCGCTGTAATCAGCAGCGACCCTTTCGGAGCTATCTGAGGGCATGCACGGTCAGTGACGAAAGTGCGGAAAAACCAGGGGCCTAAACCGAGTTATCGAAGGATTAGACTTCCCCAAAAAGCACTTACGGCTGATAACCAGTGAAAACAGGGGACCGACGGGGGAAAACAACCACGTAATCCTTCGATAACCCTGTCATCAAAACCAAACGCCCTTTTCTAGCAGGGCGCTTGAGCCATAGCGTCGTTAGCGGATCACCCCTTAAACCCGGTGGTTGTTGGGAAGAAGGGTACGTTGAGTATTCAGTATAACAAATTGGAAACTTGAATTGGAACTCATAGCTCTGCTATATACACTACGCTATACCTACCTGCTATGCTACATGTAGTGGGGGCTCAGGGGTCGATATATTTCAACTGTAAAACATGTAAAACTTTTTGTAAAACTACAAAATCTCATCTTCCAGCAGTTCCAGGGGTATCGACGGTATCGACGATTAAATCTGTGGTCCTGTTTCACCTATTTTCACCCCAGGTGTGTTGATATCCATGTCCTGTGCTGCGGTGTACCAAGCAGTGACAGGCAACACAATGCGATGTACCAAAAAAAGGGGCGGAGTGGATACCAATTCTTTGAGAAATGCTTTGAGAAATACTTGGAAGTCTCTTGGATTGGAAAAGCATTGTCAAGCCGTCAGAATTTTGGCAAAAACGGCCCGTGCAAACAAACACATACAAGGACAGCGTTGATTTTGGGACTCCATGCCATAGTCGCTGCTGCAGCTGCTGAAGTCCATTGTCCCGTGGTTCTGCATGATGTCGTCCCAAACGAAAAGCCCCCCACCTTGGCAAATCCAGATTGTCTCCAAATACAGTTACAGCCTCTGATCAGCCTCTGAGACAACAACATTTCATGTGGCATTCGCACCAAGTGGATCAGGCACGACTTGGCATACGGCATATGAAATCTCAAGCAATTCTGATTTATCAAAAAATGTCAGCAAATCCCTCAGCATCAGAGGCCCTGGAGCTTCATTTGCATTGCGTTTCAGGGTGACAAATGGGATCAATCCTTTCCCTCTTTGAACCCCCGCATTTTAGACTCTAAATCCCAAGTTTGCCAAATTCCATCGCACATCCTTGGGTCTCCATGCCGTGTCCTCCGCTGCTGCAGTTGCTGAACGCCATCGTTCCGTTGTTCTGCATGATTCTATGATGGGCAAAAAGTCCCCCACCTGGGCGAATCTGCATCTGATGATTTGTTTTTTCGCAGCAAAGCCAGCAAACTAAACTTCCTGCGTGCGGCAAAGAGGATACCCGAAAAGGGACAGAGCAGATACCACTTCTTTGAGAAATACTTGGAAGTCTCTTGGATTCGCAATCATGATCAAGCCTTGATAACTCTGGCAAACGTGGTCAAAAATGTCAACAAAGTACAAAGTCTCAGGAAATTTCAAAACCACAAGCAAACCAAAAATGAAATACTACCCAAAGCCTTCGAACTTCAATTGCAGTCATGTTGTGTGTTCACAGGCGAGGAATGATCTCACCCTGTCTCTTTGAATCACACTAGTTTGGACCTAACAGTCTACCAAATTACATCGCTTCAGGTCTCATCCTCTGCTTGGGGTTCCACGCCAACTGATCTGCTCCAGCAGTTGCTGAACGCCATCGTTCCATTGTTCTGCGCTATGTAACCACTGACGTAAAGCCCACCACCTGAGGAAATCGGGGGTGTTGACGAGTTTGGCTGCAACATCTGCGGCGACTTGGGACGGCATTTGCGAAATCTTAGTGTTTTCAAAGTTTACCCGCTAGGTTTGCCTTCTCCAGACGCCCAAGAGATAGCAAAGCTTTAAACCCAGAGGTTCCAAGGGTCGTCAGGAGCTGTAACACTGAGCGAAAACATCGAAATCAAGGCCTGGTTGGGAGACAATGATGTTGTTTCACATTGCATATTGTTGATATCCATGTCTGCGATGCACTGGAAAAGGGACAGAGTGGATACCAGGAAAGCAACGTCAGGCGGTCCGAACTTTGGCAAAACGCAGCCCCATGTCAACAAAAAGTCCAATGACATTCAACTAGCATGCTCAAAAGTAGAAAGGATACACCGGTGGTATGCTTAACATATGAAATTTTGGGCAATTCCAAAATCAAGAATCACGCAATAGTGGAACTTCTTTTTGCGATCAAATGTTATGACGGATGAGGCCAATCCTTCCCTGTATGAATCCCGTTTAGACCCAGTTTACCAACTTTGGGACTCCACACCAGCGGACGTGCTGCTGCAGCCGCTGAACGCCATCGTTCCGTTGTTCTGCGCTATGCTTTCAATGACGTAAAGCCCACCACCTGAGCGGTTGCCAAAACCCCGTTACCTTGTGTTCTATTCTGTCTTCCCTTTCGCCATCTCTTTCGCGAACCTTTCGCGATGCAGGGTTTTTCTTTCGCGGCATCCATGTGTCTGAAATACACTTTCGCGAGCTTTCGCCCAAAACATGTGACAAAAGTTCCCCGTTTTCCGCAGTGAAGTGCGTCTTGAAACCTTTGATTCCACTCCCCTATCAAATGGGGGGGGGCCATCCCAGCTAGTCAGGGCTTCCTGAGGAAATCGGGCGTCTTGACCCGAATTTTCCCGAAGCTTCTGATGCGCAGGAGCATCCTGAACTCAAAAATCAAACTAACCGAACAAAAAATTGAGACATTCTTCGCCATGTTCGAGCAAAAACATCGTAGTCTGCAATGTTTTTTGGTCTGCTAAATTCAAGCAATAACAACGACAATCCTGCAAGAAGTGGTGTGTTGAAAGGGTGTGTCAAAAATGTTGTGACAGGAACATCACAATCTGTGGCGTTCAATTTGATGACAAGTTTGCAATGTTTGAAACTTGGTCAACGAAAACATGACTCTTTGGGGTGCTCCTGCATGAAAAACATGTTCTGTTTGCATGTTCCTACCCCGATTTTGGGGTGCCAAAATATGTTCTAGAAAAAAGGTGGGGTTTGCCATGGTTTGAAAGGATGGTAAAGCCGAAATTGCGTTTAAAAACAAAGACGTGCTGCAGGTTGGCCAGACCAAAAACAAACTAGGATGGACGGTGATGCAGTACACAATGCCAGCGAAGTCCCCCTAACGTTGTAGTTAACTGTCATTCCTCCATGGAACTACGCCCCCCAACTGCCAGGAAATGTCATCTCTTACTTCAAAAACCATGCGAACGCATGATTCATGTATGCATTGGTAACAAATCTATGGGGTTCTGATTTACATCTCAACTCAATATTTCTGCAACCGATTTCTGTGGCCAAATTGTGCTCTTCTTCAAACAAAGCATCAAATTCCCCAGGCATGACAAAACAACAAGTTCACCAGTGTAAACACAAGCTAAATGAAGATAAATGAAGCAATATTTACGTCTAAAGAGCATCATTTTCTGTCTTACGCAACTGCTCCACACTAAACGCATGTTGGGCGACTTTCCCGAGAAGTCCCCCCAACTAAACACAAGATTTTGGATCGGGCGGGGTGAGTTCGCTATAAGCGTGAACCAGACATGAAAGCGATACTGGCGATACTGGCGATACTAGTATTTTTTTGCGTCCTACATATGCTTTTGAAAAAAAAGGTCGGCATGATCGACATGCACCGATAGAGACAAACAATGGGCTTCACGATGCACGGTAAGGATCCAAAGGATCCAACAGGAACAGCTGGAAAGCTACGCCGCTACGCGAGGCTACAACGACTAGTAGTGACTAGTCAGCGCCCTGGGATCAAAATCAAAATACACAACTGCCAGAGAAAGTCTGTCAAGTTCGTACAGGTGACAGTCAAAATCATCCGATGCCATTTTCGTCACTGACATGAAGACAATGATTCCACCGCAAGATTCGAATGGACTTCGGTCAACAATTGAAGGCGAAACTTTGAATGATTTGCTGTGAGCTCTTTAGACACTGAAACTTGATAGAGAATGATAGAGATCATCGCTGGCGTTGCGTGAAATACTCTCATCCTTTCACCCTTCGGACCCAGTTCGAGAGCGATCCCCCTTTTCCCTGGTGGATCGCTCCATGGTTTCGCATCCAAACTCCGTCCACTCTGCTCCGCAGTCTGAGGCTCCGCACCATGATCTTCGCTGCTGCAATTGTGGAAGGCGATGGCGCCGGCATGCTGCGTCAGCTTTTTCACCATGAGGCCGCCACCTGCCACTCGCAATGCGGCGAAGACACCTCCCATTGAACCATACCGGGCCATACCGGGCCATACCGGACCATACCGGATCATACCGGATCATACCTCCATAGCCCCCATAATATGCCACAGTCCTTGATATCTGGATGCTACTTGATGAATTTCTGGGGATTCAAGTCATGATCATTCATGATTCATGATCTGCCTTTGCTCTGCCTTTGACGAGGCCCGAGCGGCTCAGCAAACGCCGGAGCTTTCGAAAAAAAAATGTTTTGACATCACCACAAGGTGGACCGGTGGACCGAACACGGAAAACACGGAACGCATTGCACACGTGCAAAGCCCGTAGGAATACCCCACCTCCTGCATGCCACTTGTTGTGTGCCTGCACCATAATGCTTTCACTCACGTGTCTTGGGCAGAATGGTTCGGAAAAGCTGTCAAGCAAAACAGCTTTCTGCAGCCCCAATCATCGCTCATTAATGGGTTTTGACTTCATACCACTAGCCTACTTCCTGACATTCGCATCCAACATGTTCCGCACTAAGCCGAAAAAACGCCTTTAGCCTTTAGCCTCTCTCCATGTCACATCATGTCACCATTCAAGTTCCTGATGTGATCAATTTTGACATGTCGCCCAGGCAAGCCATCCCCAGAACCACCAGTCAGCGTTTCCCTGAGTGCGCAGAACATGAGTTTATATAATTTATGGATATTTATGGCATCTCCTTTGAAACCAAATCTTGGAGAAAGAACCAAGCTCTTAAATATTCTTAAATGTTCAATTTTATTTCTACAGTAAAGAGCTGTTCAAATGATTCCCTGTTTGTTGTACTGATGGTGGCTCCCCTGAAAAAGCTCGCAGATAGAAACTTGTCCGCAGTAAATGAATCATGTTCTGAAACTTCCCCCCAATCTTTGGATGGGTTTCCACTCCCAAAGCGGGTCTGCGATCTTGGTCCTTGTTGTGGCAGCCCTCGAAGTGGATGTTTCCAAACATGGAGGCGCTCCCTTTGACTTCAACACAGGGTTCAAAAAAAAAACTCGCCGCAATGAAGCGGATGTCTCCTTCCATCCTCAGATCTCCTGACCGAAAGCCCACTTTATGCCATCCCTCCATCAATCGCAGAACATGAAGTGGAAACGTTGACATGGCCAACCAAACACATTTTTTCTCCACCAAGTTGGTTTCAACACATGTTGTTCTGAATATTCTGAAATTCTCGGTGCACTCATCACTTGAAGGCAAACCAAGGAAAACAAGGAGAACACAGCGCAAGGATTGTGAGGAGCGATTTCGCGTTGGAGAGTTCCATGAGAGCTCCAAAAGCGCGCCCTCTCCAGTCCTTCAAAGATCAACGGCTCCTGCAAAGTCACCTGCATCTGCCATCGTCCCCTCAACAGATATGATCTAAAAATTGATCATCAAAACTGATTATGTACTCATCATCTCATCATCTGAATTCACTTTATTGCATCCCTGTGTGCATTCTGCAGAGAAGTTGTGCCCACTAAACCGTTTACAAACACAGCCTTATACTACAAAATGACGCTTGAATCTGAACCAACCCCCCTTGCTACAGAATGGGTTGGGGGTTTTTATGGTGGATCAAAGGCCAATGTCGGTCACTACAAAATGACTTTGCGTACCCATTTTGTAGTGAAAACGGGCTGCAGTGAAAAATCATGATTCTCTACTAAATGGTTTCTGGATATTTCACTCTAAATCTTTGGTTCCCTTTCTGGGGCCCAGGTCATAGTATTTGCCGAGCACAAGTAAATACAACCTTGGGATTTCCATCTGATTCCAAGAATTGACCTTTCAAAAAAGGTTTGACAAAAGCACGGCGCAGAGGTTTTGAACTGCAATCGTCAGACCTATGGGGCAGCAGAAACGATCTAAGCGCACAACTTCAAATTCAATTGATCGGTCTTGAACCAAATCTGTCCCATTTTTCCTCCTTAAAGTCTCTACATGAAAAGCATGTTTTTCGATCTTTTTGGGGCTTATCTGGAGGGGGGCTATATGTTTATGTAACCGGGCATGACCGGCAAAAGAGGGCTTTGGGGTTTCCGGTACGACGCAACGCATCCCAAAATAAATCACTACAAAATGCATTTCCGATTTTTGAGTGCCAAATGGAACGCCGCTACAAGATACAGTGCACGCCCTTTTACTACAAGAACTGGTGCACGGGTCCATTTTTTTTTGCTTGAATTCTCCACGAAACAGGGGATGGTATCAAGCATGTGTGTTCACCCTTTTAGTAGTGGAAATGGTAAGGGGGATTTTATTGCGACATTTAATTGTTCAAATTTCACCTGCCTCATGCCCTACCCATGGCAGTTCGGCCAAACAACCTTCCTGTGAAGTGATGGAAACAGTTTTACATTATGACATAGCTGGTTTGCGCACAAGTCGGACTTCACTTTGACATCAATGTGGAAGGTTCTGATCTTCCCTGTGAAGACTTCGCCCATTCGCCAGAACATGGTCCAAACAGAGTCGAAACACACGACATGCGATTTGTATCGATTTGTATGTATGTATGTATGTGTATGTGTATGTGTATGTGTATGTGTATGTGTATGTGTATGTATATGTATATGTATATGTATATGTAATATGTAATATGTATATGTAATATGTATATATATATATATATACATATATATTGTAAATGGTAGGGAGCCAGTTTCTAAAGAAGATTCAACAGCGATATCCAATGCTATGGCAAGATGTCCCAAATCCCTATCTGAAACACGAACCTCACCAAATAGCGCCAGCTTCTCCTTTTTGGCACTGCTGCAGCTGCAAAGTCAATCTGCGGAAAGGACGGCCGCGTCCTCTGAGCAAGGGCACCCTGTGCCTATCCAAAAGGCCGCACCAAATGGCTCAGGGCGTATGAACCCTCTTCCACCCTCACCAGGCTGCCAAGCCAGAAACGACTATGGCATAGACATATGGTCTATGGTTGACCTGTACCGGGCATGTCACTGGGTTCACATGAGTCCTCATGAATGCAAATCACACTCGTTTTTTTATATCTGTTTTCTTTGTTTTGTTCTTTCTGTTCAAAATTGAGTGATTGTTTTTGGTTCTTCAGCCAGGCTAGGCGGTCTTTTGTTTTGGCTCGTTCCTTTAAAGTGGATTGTTCATCGGCAAGACGATAGAAGCCATACTTCAGTGTCTCGCGAAGGAAATTGGATTCCATTGCCTTGGCCAGGGCATCCGCAAGCTGGGCTCCACTAGGTACCCATCGCAGGTGAGTGCCTTCCTGTAGAAACTCCTTTATTGCTCGGGCCATTAGTTGAACTCTAACTCTCAGAACAGGCTGGTGTGGCTGTTCCAGAAATTAAATCGCACAAGCTTTTACAGTCAAGTGATTGCGGCTGATTGCGGTGTCTGATTCCTCTGGTTTTGTGGGTACAGTGATGGCAGGTGCAATCTTTGTCAGAGTTTCTTCCGGCTTCTTCCAATTGGTCCTTCTGTCATGAATCCAGCTCCAGTACAAACGAAGCCATGATACTTGGTCCAACGTCGACGATAGGGCCATTGTCTCAGCTGACAATGTGCTGGTTACAACTTTTTGGATCTTTCGGCAGCCCCAAGTCAGTGGACTAATTGGACATTCCAAGTTCTTATTGATGCCTTGATGTGTTCCAACAATTATGGAACCTGCATGCGAATCTGATTTCTTGGCTGAGGAAAAGGAAGCATCGGAAAATGCCAATAGTCTGAACTCTTGATATGGGATAGGTTTGATTGTTATGGTTACATCGTGATGGCGCTTGGCTTCATGAAGTACTTTGTTGGCTTCCATCAGGGTCTCAATTTTGGCATGGTTAATTGCAGATTGGAGAAATGAAAGTTTGCTTGAAAGGTCAGGACGTGTGTTTATGGCAGCATACTGTAGACTTCCAACTAAACCCCTTAGAGCCAGTCTTTCATCTTCGGTTACCGGAGCTTCCATGTGGGATTTCCGATTGGATTCAATGCAAATGGGTTTGATTTTCCGTACGTAGGCTGATTGGTTGAGGGTTATGCTGTAGTCATGATGTTGAGTGATTTCAATACATGTGAAAGTGAAAGCTGAAATTTTGTGGGATCCAAAAGGAAATTTTCTCTCTAGTTGTCGGATCTTTTCTTCGAATATCGCACTTCCCCCACCGATGCCCCGGTTGGCCATCTTCGGATTCTGATCGGAGTACAAAAACAGCACGGATCGAATGGTGAAGCCTCAAAACCAAGCTGTGTCAGTTCTGATACCAAGGAGCAATACCAGAGATATGGAGCGTCAATGAGACCATATGCGCTTTTGTTCAATCGACATATTTCTTGGGGCTTCAGGTCAAGAGATTTGCGCAATTCCGGAACGGATCTTTGGCTATCACGCGATCAGCTTGGGGCTGACCTTGGAGAAAGGCAGCTTTAATGTCGAAGGACCTAAGTTTCCAAGAGTGGGATGAGATTACCTGAAGAGCTATCATTCTAGATGTCTTATTCAGGGTTGGACTATCCCGAGGAATTTCTTCGATCTTGGGGTCAAGGTAACCTAAGACAACCAAACGGGCCTTGGCCTTATGCGATCGTTTGGATGAGTGACTTTGAGGTTCATCTCCTACTTGATCTAAAGGCTTCCATGTTAAATTAAAATCCAGCGACATCTCAAAACCTGTTCTTCTGGTATTTGATTTCGTAGTATCGAGCTGATGGTACCAGTGCGAATCCAGTTCTGAACTTCACTGTCTTTTGCCAGCTCAAACTCATGACACTCTTCGGATGTGAGTGTAGTCCGCTTGACCTCTTTACGCTGCTTTTTGGCTGATGTGGCTAGCAGAATCCATGTTTCTTTTTCTGATGGAACTTGTCGATCATGATATCTCTCAATGGGTATTTCGAACTCACATCTCCATGCGGCATCATGCGTGTCATGGCATGTCAGGGCATCTGCAGTCTCATGGCATGTGATCTGTACAAGCTCAGTGCCCTCGTCAGCTGGTCTTTCTAGTTCTTCACTGGGCGGATTCGCTTGCGACACTTCAGGAGTTACACTTTCGGGTTCTTGATCTGGTTGAAGAATTGATTTATCATTGCTGTCATTGCTTGGGAAATCTTGGGAGTCACTTGAGTTGTTATTTGAATTCTTGGGATTCTGATCTTGATTGGTGGGCATGTTAGTTTCGGGTGGAATGGCATCATCGCTGAGATCAAGATTCTGGTTACGTTGCATTCTCTGAGTCGGTTGTTCCATTTGAGTGGTGTCTTCAGGCAGTTCCGGACCTTCAGGTTGGCCCCCTTCGGGATAGGCTTTTCTGGTATTTTCTGGAGCGCTGCGATACAGTGTTCCCCCCATTGTACACCAAACTGTATGGTTATCATCTTGAACTATTAACTCATCATTTAGGACAGAGCCCGGGATCCCTGCATGTTTGCCAAACACAATGATCTCAGGGGCATACCCGTGACGTACACTGAGGGTATTCTTGGCTTGAGTACATTGGTTTAAGGCAGCTTGTAAGCTCGGATAGACAAGGATCGGGGATTCTAAGTCCATCTTGACCAGCATGCTCTGTACAAATGAGCCGTGTCTCTCGATTCGGCCGTTCTGCCAATGTGCTTCGGGGCATGTGGTGGTACTTCGGATTCCGAAGCGTTGCAGGAAATTTCCAAATACTTCGCTGTTCATCTCTGTTGCGGAGTCCACCACAATTTCATTGGGTGCACCAGCCCAACTGATCCAGCGCATTTGGATAAGATGCGTCAGGTCCTCTGCTTTCTTCGATGGCGATACTATGGCAACATGATAGTTCGATCCCGCATCTAGTATCTAGTATGTGGTATAGAAGTGGAATGTTTTCCCAGCTTTATTGGTCCAGGTTATCCCATCCAAGTAGATCTTATGGTTAAAGTCTAGCATCGGCTTCAAGGTGGCAGGTCTGGCATGTTTTGGTGGGCTGCTTGCAGCGCACGTGGCGCATCGAATTTCCAGCGCAGCTTGTGAAACTTCTGGCCTGTATCCGGCCACCTGCAAGGCTCTCGAAAGTCTGTCATTGGCTGGGTGACCAAGGCTCTTATGCATCTTCAGTATGGCTTGTTGTTCCCAGATTGGCAAACATTTGAACCGAAATCCCTGTTGGGAGAGTCTTGGATCGGGTGGTTGCGGAACCGATTCCCGAGAAGGTGTATTGGGTGCCTCCTCGGTGGGAACAGGTGCATTGACTGCTGTCGCAGGCCGGTGTTCCTTGGAGACCCTTGTAACACCTTGCTCTCACGGGCAACTGGTTGTGCCAGTTCGGACTTGGCAAATTGGGGCTTCTGACGGAACTGGCTTTTGACATTAGATGTCTTGGCACGCAATCGGCTGCTCACCACCAGGGCTGGTTCTTGAGGGCATGCTTTGAACTTAGACCGTGTCATACCAGCCTTCCACCGGAAGGGCCACCACTTTTCACCTTTGGAGATCACATGGGCTACAGCTCGGGCAAACTTTCTTGGGTACACTTCTGTGAACTGGGACCGGAGCATGCACGTACCATTCTTTTGTCGGAAAGACCCCTCTATGGGCTGATGTTGGTGGTCATGTTTGTATGTCATGCAATGAAATCTTTGGTACAAAGGTGGAAAGGTGGTGATGATTGTCATCCCCTTTTTCATTGCCAAACCATTTTCTGGGTCCATGAGGTTACCGGCTCTGCACATATCAAACTCACATGCCTGGGTGTGGTCATGGATTTCGGACAGGCATGGCAACTTGAGCATGAGTGACCGTTGTGGTTGTTCCCAATGGAAATGGTCTCCCTGAGATATTTGGTGTCGGTACAGGGCTATTCCCAAGGCAAATTGATACAATAGTTCTTGTCTCTTTAGTTGATATTCCTTCTGGTGTTCAAGTGACCGTGAAGAGTTGAGTCGGGACCAGGATGACCATGGGCCACAAACAGGGCTATACCATATGTGCTTCGGCCGGTGGCGTGCGACAGACTGGAACAAACCCATTCTGCCGGGCTGAGTGGACAGATCGCCCTGCGCAAGTCCATGTCTAAAGGCTGACTTCCCACCTTGCTGAACTTGGTGAGTCAATGGTGAATTTGGGCTACACATGACTTCTCCTAGAACCCATCTAGTTCCTAATGGTTTCGTGTCTCTCAAGGCTTGTTGTAGCTCACATGAAAACTCATTCACCAATTGAAAAACTGTACTTGTTTCATGGTGCATGGTGGTCAGCACATCATCGGACCAGTCATCTCTCACCAGTCCTCTTCCTCCTCCGGCATGTGGTTCATGATGTTCTCCTTGTTCTCGATGTAGCGGATGACCCGGGTCATTGCATTCTCCATGTTCAGCAGTCGCTGTTGCACTGCTGCCATGTCCTTCGTCATTGGCATTGGCACCTGGTTCATAGTCGGAGGCTCGTACATCTCTGAGGCCATGTCCCATCCGCTTTCCCCAGCCGGCGAAGAGGTGCCAGAAGCTGTGGCGATGCTCTTGGCCATGGGCTTCACTTTGGGTTTTGCTTTGGGCACGATCACAGTCTGGCTGCTGATCGGAGCGGTGACCAAACCCTGCTCGATGGCGGTGACCTGAAGTTCCACGTACTTCAGAAACCTTCGGTGTTCTTCTTTGCTGTTCTGGTAACGTGACACCATGAACTGAATCCATTCCTGGTCTTGCCAGGTGTCCTGGTACTGGTGTCCCTTGTACTTCTGTCCAAAGGCTGTTGTCTCGGTTGCCAGTTCCTCCAGTGTGAGGTGATCGAGGCTGGGCAAGGTCACTGGCGCCTGTGTCTCGAGGCGACGGAGTATCTGAGACAGCGACATGTTGGAATGTACGGACAGACTGCGTGGTAATCGGATCGACCTTGTCGGCCTGTTGACATTCAGCTGGCATCGGATGTTCAAGTGTGTTGTGGTCATGTGGGGGTTGTGATATGGCTGTGGTGCTTTCTTCGGGTGTGATTACATTCTCGGATGCATGTTCATTTCTGAGTGGCCTCAACCCCAAACCTTAGACCTGTGAACCTGCCTTATTAAACCATGTGGTCAACAACTTCTGAGTCGGATGGCTATCAGGCTTTCTTTTCTCGGTCTCATCGGACACGAAGGTCTCGGCAGATTCTGTCGTGCTGTCAGGCAAATGGCTGGGCGTCTTGTCCATGGCTGCTCGGATCAGTGCATTCATGTCCATGAGAAACAACCCCTTTGCAGTGAGATGCAATGGAACTGGCTGGTTCAGCAGCTTACTGGACAAAACTTGTCGGGCGCAATCTATCTTCGCTGACATGGTCCGCATCAACGTGTTGCTGATGAGAAACGGAGTGCCCCCATTCACTATGGCAACCTTTAATTTGAGAAAACCAATTGGAATAACTAGGGCCTGTTGGCTAGTTAATGTGGCTTGGTTCCCAAACTTGAAGGTTATGTTGCATGGGCATCGGGTCAGCTGTCGGCGGATGTCGGAATCGAGGCTTTGAATTAGCTCGGCAACGTTGTCACTGCCGATGACAGTTTTGGAGGCACCGAGATCTAATATTCCGAATGATCCATGAGATGCGAAGCATGCATGTTCCGACTCTGCTCTTGCTATGGCTTTCTGGGTATGGTCCAGTGATTCTGGGCTCGGTGACATTCCTGGGACATACTGTTGATGTCCTGGCGGCTGGCAAGTGGGATCATTTCTATCCCTGTGCAACTTGGCTTTCAGCATTGGGGTCAGCTTTGCGGCAGACTGGAAGCTACGGCATTGCTCATTCTTCCTGAAACCCCAGGCTTGGGGTCTTTGACGGGCAGTGGGCTTACAACCCCTGACTATGCCTATCCCCATTATACGATTCCCCATGAATACACCCAGAGTTACAAGCATGTCCCCACTGATTATCCATCAAAACGTTCATCAAAACTGGCAAAGCTTCGTCTATGGAACCATGGTGAAGGCTCGGCAGGTCCAGGAACTCTAAGGGCAAAATGTCCTCAGGTTGAGACACTGTCACGGTCGTTGTGGGCATACTGCTGGCTGTGGATGCAGGTGCATGAGATCCTCCGGATGAGGGATTGGTACTCTGCCGATATGGGCATTCAGCCTTCCAGTGCCCCTTGCGGTTGCAATTTCGGCATACACTGTTCAGAATTCTATACTGAAGGCTGCGGTTTGGCCTCTGTTGCCAGGTTCCTTTGCCCTTGGCATTCCCTTTTCCAGAAAAACCCTTGCCTTTGGTGGACTGCTACTTTTGCTGCTAGTGCTCCAGAAACATCTGTTACGGAACTTCTCAGAGAGGCGTTTTATGGCCTCCAACACTGTAGGCCGATGCCAGTTCTGGATCGTCCTGTGCAACTTCTGAAGCAGCTGATTCGAAGTCTGCCACCCAGGTCGCATCCTCGTCTCCTTCGTTGAGAAGACACTCCGCATACTCATCTTCTCCTTGTTCATCTTGGGCATGGAAAGTTGGCTCCTGTTCTTCTTCCTCGGCCAACATTGTTGCAGAACTGTACACTTTTGTTTTCTGACCAGCTTTGACACCTGTCATCTCCTGGAAAAACGTTGCTCCCAAAAGTCGAACTGCATCTGACACCTTTCTGACTGTGAGTTTCCCTTCCAGACTGTTGTCAGATTCCAGGATTACTCGTTTCTTGTCATCTGGGGTTAAATTGGATCCCCGCAGCATGATAAAGGCCTGAAGGTCCTCAATGCTCAGTTTCTGTGCACGAAGCTTGCTCCAAGCCACATCAGCTCGAGCTAAGAAGGAATCGTTGCTCTCATCCTTCAACTGCGTTGTATGAAACAAAGCTTGTTCGGCCTCCTCATACTGTTTCTCTAGTCCAATACGGCCCCAATGGCCACCCAGAATTTCAACCAGTCGGTGTACTGCCTTTCCATCATTTTCTAGTAGTTAATCCTTGTGTATCTGTAACTTGTCAAACGCTGATCCTTAAGAGTTCAAGATGATTTGGGCCATGCGGCCAAGACGAGCTCCACCTTCTGTTGATAGACACGCAAATTGTCCTTGGATGGATCGAACGTATAGGGACCATGTCCAACTCCGGTTGCGGCCCCTGCGCCGTCACCATCAGAGGCTGCCGCCATATCCAAATTCCCCCTGGATGCTCTTCGGCAAAATCACAGCTTTCTTCAGATGATAGTCGGAGCCGAGTGCTCCGCTACCAATGTAAATGGTAGGGGGCCAGTTTCTAAAGAAGATTCAACAGCGATATCCAATGCTATGGCAAGATGTCCCAAATCCCTATCTGAAACACGAACCTCACCAAATAGCGCCAGCTTCTCCTTTTTGGCACTGCTGCAGCTGCAAAGTCAATCTGCGGAAAGGACGGCCGCGTCCTCTGAGCAAGGGCACCCTGTGCCTATCCAAAAGGCCGCACCAAATGGCTCAGGGCGTATGAACCCTCTTCCACCCTCACCAGGCTGCCAAGCCAGAAACGACTATGGCATAGACATATGGTCTATGGTTGACCTGTACCGGGCATGTCACTGGGTTCACCTCATGAATGCAATGTTTTGGCTTCGTGGCGCTACACATCACGCCGTGTCCCTCAGGTCCCTCGCTCCGCGCCTGCGCGCCCATGTCCCCGCGCAGTGTCGCACACTCCTGCGTTGCGTCTTGGGCACGTCACCACTTTACGAAACAGAACCGGGCAGTGCGGCAAAAAAAAAAGTTCTACGCTTTCTACATCGGAACTCAGCAGATTGCCTCAAAGAGCAATTGGAACCCTATGGAACTCTCTTGCTTTTTCCTAAGAATTGGAACCCCTGAGAAGATGCAGGGCACAAGCCCTCCATCCTCCAACGTTCTGGAAACCGCGGCACCGCGGCCCAGTGCCCTGCGCAATTGAATCAGACATAACAAGACCTGCGTAATGGATGTAAAGGTCATTTTGGTCATTTTGTTCTTGGGTTCAGCTTGAGCTGTGAACTTTTGACGCCCACTGCAGAGCTCACCCATTGTGCTCCGCACATTAGGACCTATCGACTGGAACGGAAATAGGAAATGTTGGCTGACTCATCATTGGTTAACTCAAAAGAAGGTTGCTTGCCTTCAAGCAACACCCAAGCTGCGTCCTTCGAGAAGACAAGCGCACTATTGACCACATTTTGGCCCCGCAGGTGCAAAGTGCCATCGATGCAATTTGCGCTGCTTATTACCTCATGGCTGAACGAAAGAAAAACATCCGAAAGTATGCTCCTCCCGAAGCCTCTCTACTCTGTACTGCTTGTTGTCTTTAGGTTGTGCAAGTTGCCGGCACTGGCCAAAACAAAAGAATGACCCTGATCCATTTGATCCCTGTTTTCGACAGGGATTACGACAGATTGCGACATCACCCCCTTCCACTTTCTTCCATAATTCTGGGTGGTTTTTTTCCATATTCCAGTGGAGTCGCCTTGCCATCGCCAATTTCGGCGAGGGATCAGGATCCACCATCTGCTTGAAAATGGTGGAAAAACACTGAAGTCATGGGCTTTTCACAGTGGTGAACTCACTGAATTGCGATGTACAAAATATGTAAAACACCATCATTATCATCATTTATCATCATCAACTATCATTGGAAAAATTATCATCAATTATCATATCATCATATCAATTATCATCAAACATTGAAACAAATATGGGCGACCAAAGACTTGCATTTCCAGTCCGAGAGACTTCCAGGAAAGCTTCAGGCTGGTGGTCAGCCTTGGATTCCAAGTCTCATGTGGCTGCACATCAAGCAGGCAAGGGGCAAAGCACCTTAACATTTCCATACATTTCCAGGAAGATTCCTTCAAAAGCAGCAGTTTTGGTGTAAAATGGGATTGCGCACGACTATGTGGATGTGGGATGGTGGCGCCATGTCGCCGTGGAATTTGCAGCGGTCTCAGGGGACGTCGGTGTCATCAGCGCCTGATGAAGTCGCAGCGCTGCCATCATCAGAAACGCAGCAGAAACGCAACAGCCAAGGCCCCAGTCCCCCAGTCATGATCACTGATGAAATTTGATGAAATATGTCATGATTTGATGTCATGATATGAGATTAATCATGTAGAAATTTCATCAAATTTCATCAAATTTCCCTGTCAGAAGCGAGCCAAACTTTTCTACAGTGCAACCTGGAAAAACAGCCATGGCTCTGAGCAACTGAAACCGTGGATGAAAAAGAGAACTACATGACGGTTTGCATAAGTACCGCGCCGGAAGAAGCATGCAAAACCACGGCTGAAGGTGGAAAACAACAATGGCCCAAATGTTCGAATGATTTCCATCGTTCTTCCCATGGTTTCCGCAGCTGTACCGCGCCTCCTGATGCATCTTTTCATCTGCTACCTGCAACAGAGATACGGCCCACCTGCCCTTCGGCTCGACTGACAAAAGAGGTCTGAGACCGATATGAACGCAGAAATACGACGCAACGCATTCTGATATTGGGCATAGTAATTGCATAGTATGTATGCATTGGCCGAGTGGCTTAAATGTTCAAGGAAAAATATCAACTAGGAAGAAAGGAGGCCAAAGGAGGCCAAAAGCGTATCGGAGACGTCTGTAGAATGTTGGCACAGCAAAAGAAACTCCGGATTTCCCGTGTGGCCTCCCACAAACATCCACAAACTAACTCTGAAACTAGCTGAGTTTTGCGCTGGGCGCACAAATGATGCCCATCAAAGGACAAAAAAAACAAAAATCACATCACAAATGATCACAGGTCCTATGTCAGCTATGTCCTGCTGGCTCAATCCTCAGAAAATCCATCATTTTTTGCGGCAAACCGAATCATAGCTCCAGTCCCCGGTCTTTCCCCACCTCGAGCTCTAAGGGCTCAAATCTACTAATCTCATCTCGCAAAGCAGCGCTGCGCAGCACTAGCGCATAGCACACAACGGCCACGCGCATTGCATGTTGTGAAACCTGGAATTTCTCAGAAAATCGTCATGTTGAAGATGCACCTGTTGGCACAACTGAAGCCAAAACGCCGAAAAACAACCTGTGCTGTGAGATTCCGAAGATCGATGGTGAGGTTTTGGCTCAAAGTTCAATCTAAATTGAAGACAATGGAACTAGTGGAACTAATGGAACTAATGGATTTGAATGGAAATATGTTTTATTCGGATGGCATGGGCTGTGGTTCATGACATGTTCAAAAACAATAAATCAACCTGCAACTGAACCCGTAACGAAGGTTGGACTTCGAGCTGGTTTCTCATGTTTCTCATACCCAAATGTTGTGGAAAATATCTGAAGGCCAGGTCAAACATGGTCAAACATGGTCAAACATGGTCAAACATAGTCAAACGACAGGCCGACCGCACTTCTTTTGGTCAGGATGAGTCTGGCAAATTACCTTGCCGATCCTTGCCGATCCATGCCACTTTTAAGACATGCATCCTGATTATTTCGACAATCTGGCAGCGTTTGTAGCTGAATTGCACGATCTCGGTGGTGCTTGAAACTTGGAACATCTTGGAAAGACCAATCCGCGAGTCAAGAGATATGTGGCATCCATAGAGTTATAAAGTTGTAGATATGTGCAGGATAATTATTGACCTTCTGCTAAGTCTAATATGCCATAAATTAATGTAATTTATCCGCAATCATCCCCATTCTTACCGTAGCCATCCCTAGGTATAAACCAACTTGCCAGTCACTGTTGATCATGTTGGGTGAGTATCCCGTATTGCCATCAAAAGCGCCATTAACAGCAGGCATTCATCAACAACTTGGTGTGGAAAGTTGGGAGGATACCATAAAGATACCACTAACTGCATTAATGGATGGATTCCAATGGATTCCAATGGATTCCGGATACCACACAGATCCACATTTTTGTCATGAAACTCACTAAACCTTCTGGCAATAGGTGGTCGAGTCAGCCCCTCCACAGCAGGCTTCTAGGCCATCGGAGCATTTGTATGCCGTGCCCTTGATGTATGTGATCGAGTCGGAGTCGCAGCAATATCCGTCGGCATCGCCACCGTTGCAGACCTGACTGCATTTGAAGGAACTGCTGGAGTCGCACTGAGTGCCCTGATCCTGCAGGTTAGAAAGATGAAAAGAACCGGAAACCGTGGGAAATTGGGGATTCCAAAGTTTGAGAGCCCAAAAGTTACTGAGGTCATCGCGAAATCTGACCCCCCTGTGAAGAGGTTTTTAATTTTTCAGTGATGAGAGTGATGAGAATCCCCATAAGACTGATCCGTGCGAAATCTCGTCCCCATAAGTTACTGAACGCCCTGATTCCCATCAACACTGAATGATTGTCAGGAGTGATTCGGACACAACAAAAGGGAAACCAGCAACTTGGCAAATCAAAGGAATGTTGCTGCACAAACCCCAACTGCCTGAGTGATGAGGTGCATCGGTCGATCAGAATTGTAATGCATACATCATTCATAATACATAGAAGAATACAATAGAAGACATACATGTTATATCATATTATATCATATTATATGATATTATATCATATTATATCATATTATATCCCATTAATTCCCATGATATCCCATTCTATGTGCCATTAGATGTGCCATGCCATGCCATGCCATGCCATGCCATGCTGTCTGCTGTTTGGCTCCTGGATGCAGTCAATGGAGATGGAGGAGTCCAACTGGTTATCGTCTCCCTGCCAGTACCAGAATGACATCCCTGCGAGGCCGTACTCCGCAATGAGCGATTTGAACCAATCCACCATATAGGCCTCAAGGCCAACGGTGGTCAGGGAGAGAACGATCTTCTCGTTTGGGACTTCAGAATCCAGCCACTTCTGGATATCTGTCCATGTGGTGCCAGTTGTTGGGTCGGGTGATGGAATGGTATATGAACCAGAGGTCATCGAACTCCCATGAATCATGATGCCAAAGTAGTCGAAGTCATCCTTGTAGGGTACTGCATTCTCGTATTGACTCACCAAGCAGGTCGCTTGACCCTTGGTGCTTGAGCTTGAGCCCTGGACCGCCGAAAGCAAAGTATAAGAGCTTGAGAAACCATTTTTGATACTTCCTTCCAAGTCAAAATCCAAGTTGTCGGCTTTCAATGATGACATCCAGGTTGTAATCGTCTTGGATGTGGGAAGGTCCCCTGTCACTCCATCACCGCCCAGCGTGATGTAGTTCATTGTGGACCTTCTTCGATTCGAGGCTGTTTGCGGCTCGGTGGACATTGACGGGTCAAAGGCTCCAGTGTGCTGCTCCCAATTCTTGGGAACATCTGAACAAAGTGTGAGCCAACTCAAACCACAGTAGACCTGAGTGGTTTGCAAGTCCAGAAACTGGAATTGATCCTAGTGGTTGATGTTGTAGGGATTACCATGATGGATTATCGTAATCGATCCCCGATCCCCAAAGAGCAGCTAGTAGAACAATGTAGAACCCCTATGAACGATGATCAACCGTGAACCGTGATGTTGAATCAGGGCCAACCAGTTTTTTTTGCTTTAGGCGTACCAAGGACCTGAACTTTGTAGGGAATCGTCCCAGTGTAGGTGCCAGCCCTGCGACGGCTGCGACGCCTTCGGCTGCGACGCCTGCGGCTGCTGGTGGATTCATCGCTGGACTTCTCGTTGGACGTCGAGTTGCTGGCCTCGATGGCTTCGGTGGCTGCCCCTCCGATCCCCTTCTGGGCTGCAGTCCCAAGCTGTACCAAAGCACTCTCACCGAGCTCTCCTGGCTCACCCTTGCATGCATCCACATCCGAGGCGGCTGCGGTGTTCTGATCAGCCGCTACAGCCGCTACAGCCGCCGCTACGATGCAGAGTAATGCGAGGCGAAGCATGGCTCGAAATTGGTTTGAAAACGCCACCAAATTGAGCTGCCAGGAGGACTGGAGCCAAAAAGAATGGATTCAAAAGGATCCTTCAAGGATCAGGATCCGCAAGGAAGCTACGTCACATCTTCACCTGGCAAGCACCACATTTGTGTCATGAAAAGCGTTGGCACAGACAAACGATGTCGCTTCATGTGAAGGCGATTGGTTTCCCGTTCTTTTTCGTCTGCGTTGATGTCGCTCCACTGATTCAGCTGACCACCAGGAATCAACTTATAACCAGTTGATTCCCAGTTGATTCTAGATCACTGGATGGCATAAATATGTTGATGATTTGTAAATACATAAATCCAAATCGAAAGACTTCTGCTTTCTCAGCCTTGTCGTTAACGACCACCTCAATGTGCTGAATTTCTGGTGATTTTGGAGTTGCGAAATCTCCGAAACTGCCTGAAAAGTACTCCATGATCTAGGCAACCAGGTGGGACAAAACGCTGTCCAAACTGGAAGCTCCAAAAATCGCACAAGACAAATGTTCCTTTATCTTTTTTTGGACTTCCTCGTTGATATACCATATTGCTTTGACATGTTTCAACAATTTCAGTCAACTAGGAGAAAAGGATCCCAAAAGAAAATGTTTCGGAGGCCTCTTTGCTAAAATCTGCAAGAATGTTTGCACAAAAAACTAAAGCACCGCGTAGTTTGCTCAATGTGCAGCCTCCCACAGACTAGCTCTAAGCTTCTGAGCTTGGCGCTTGGTGCTTTACGCAGAACTAGCGCATCATGGCACGCAATGGTCCATATGACGCCATATGAGTCATATGAGTCATATGAGTCATATCCATTGCATTTTGTGCAATTTCTCGGAACATCGCCCTGTCTTGGTGCCATCGACAGCTCATAGCTGCCATAACGTCGACAAGACATGCTTGGTCTGACCAGTCTCGTTCTGTCTGGTTTACGAGCACACCTGCTGTGCATCACACTGGCATACACTGGCAGCAAAAATTGTGACGCAGTGCCGTTCCCAATCCTAACATTGTCACGATCTTCAGCGTGGGTCCAACGGCTTCAGCTGGCCGCGATCTTCATCATGGCTGAGCCTCAGAGAGCCCAGGCAGAGCACCTCAGGTTTTCTAGACATTGGCAAGCTCTCAAAGCCAAGCGGAATACGGCCGTGACGATGACACCAAGGGTAACCATCATTGACATCTGTCCAATCTCTGTCTTGTTCCATTGCTCCTCATTCGAAATCCTCAGGAGAAGAGTTGCACCATTGTGACGCATGGGGAAACAGAGCCGGCCGTCAAATTGAGATCAATGATCGTTCTTCCTCTCTCAAAGAAAGCGTTGAAATTTCACCTTCCTCCAAGCATCACTGCAGAAGCCACCGCGATCGCAACGCAGTTGTCAGCAGCGCCAATTCCTGAAGTAAATAGATGCAAGGGGTGCAAAAGCTGCAGTAGACATTTCATAACATTTCACCTCCATGTTTGAGCAGGTTGAAAACCGAAGATGCATAACATGCAGTTTGTATCATTTTGTCTTGTCTTATTTCTCTTGCCTCTTACATCGGTTTTGGGGTGGGGAATACCGTGTTGCCCAGCTAACCGACCTGGTCTGATGACATGTTGCCGGTAATCACCTGGTGGATCCTTGTGAATTGATGTGAGTGTTGGACCAGACTTTGTAATCTATAAAAACTCACTGCAGAATGGTAAGACTCCGGTGCAAGGGAATTAGAAACTATGTTTATCCAGTCTATCCTTGCATCATGGTACGAAGGGAAACTAACTTGCTCGCTCATGCCTTGTTAGCCAAATCTAGCAACTAGCTACCCCAAATCTCATGCATCACCGGAACGAAAATGTGTGGTGCCTTTGAAAACAAGGCCTTTTTTCAGAAGACCAAAGCTGTCAAACCGTTGGAAAATCACATGTGAAAGAGGGTTTTCTTGAATTGCTATAGAATAACTGCGAGAAAAAGAAATGAGTTGCGAAAGGCTGTGTGTTGGTTGCGAAAAAGACATTCGTTGCTCAAGATTCCTTGGATTGCGGAAGGCCTCAGGCTTTGATTTATGGAATAAATTGATGGACTGGATTTCTCAAAATCCAAACATTAGAATGATGGTACCCAAACCAGCACTATACAATACTATACATCCATTTCAAGGATCCATGCGAAGATGGTCACTGTCCAAAACTTTTTTTTTGGTGGTTAGCATCCCTATTTTGGCGGTTGGCATCCAGTATGACATGAGGGGAAACAGGTCTTCAACCCATTGGGAATCTGAAGGCATCCAGTATGACATGAAGGACAAATACTGTCATTACATATAGTTTGGACTTCTCCGTATCTAACCAAAACTCCAGCTTCGCACCCAACTATTGCGATTCGCAATGAAATGTGCTCATTCGTTATTGGACCGTACACAGCATATAAATGTAAAAGCCGAAAATGCTAGGAATTGACCTGCAAGAATGAGTAGAACTAAAATAACTCGATTAGAACATCATATTTCTTTAAACTATGCATTGAATGCCAACCCAGCAGGATGTTTGACATCGAAGCAACTGTAGATTGGACATTTGAGGGTTTGAGTCACGAAGGGCTTCGTGATGCTTCGTGTGGAGGGATCCGATGAGCTCCGGTCCACATCAAGGCCTTCCCCCAACTATAAATCTTACATCGAAAGCGATTGGGATTCTCAAAGGTGATGTATACAATGTATACAAAGTCTGTTGATGTGATTAAAAGTGTGTACTGCCTCTCAGTTTTCCCCACTCTTTGAGCAAAGCTTCGCTCCAATTCCAAAGTGGTTGGCGATATGGGTGGAAGATGCCACACAAACACATGGACACACCAGTGATGATGGTCAGCGACGTCATCTACAGGGCTGGGAAGGTCGTCCTTGGATAAAATGCAGCTGCAGTGGCAAGAAGCACTTTCCTGGCAAAGCTTCGTTGTGCAGCCTGACTCGTTTTGCTCAAGCCTCTATGACGAAAAGAATGCTAAGCAAGATATGACAATATCGTGTCCTGATTGTACATCTTTGTATGCAGCCACGCAAAGTGATCTGCTATCATCATTTTCTTTCTAACAAATATGGAATGGAGTAATTATATCATAATGTGTTGTATGCAAAGGATTTTGTTCAGTAATACGGGTTGCCACTACAGTGAAACTCGTGCAAATCTCCCGAAAAAAAAACGGGTTTTCAAGAAACCGGTTCAAAATGATTCAAACGAAAAAATGAAGACTTGACAGAAAGTATTTCACCTGTGACTTCAAGTGATTGATCGTGCACGAATTGCACGGCCGCCAACGTCACTCCATGCCTGATCAAGCGCTCGGCTTCAAAGTAGCGCGGCCCCTGGCAAGTTTCATACAGAACCCATGTGCCAACTGTGGCGCTAAAACCTGCACATCATCAGAAATCTTATGAAATCTTGTAAAACTGAATGGATGCTACTCTCATCATCTCTCATCTCTGTCCCAGGTGCAGCGCATTTTGTGAAACGAGGATTTCTCAGGAAATCGTCATGGTGCTGAAGCCAAAAAGGCGATGTAGCACTCACTTGTTGCGAAAGCATTCGCGGCCAACCGATACAGGCAATCACATGCAATCTCGCGCAAAAAAGCAGCCGAACAAGATGGGCAGGCAAAACGGATACTAGGCATGTGATCAATGGTACCACGCGTTGTTCTATCAGGGATGCGTGTTGTTAGCCTCGTTCTAAGTTGAATTGACTCCTCCTGATGCGATACCGGCAATACCGCCAAAACGTACTCTGTCGTACTCTCCATGGCCAAATCTTTTTCCTCTGCATCACTTCATGTCTCTGCATCATCTCTTTGCAGGTTATACCTGCCCCACTATTCCGGTGATTCATTCTGGATGCGATGGCCCGTCAGCTGGCCGCCGTTCATGCCATACTTCCATGGCGATTTTGACCATGAAGACAGAACCTCAGGGAACCGTGGCTTGCTCAGGCCTGGAAAAGAACAAGAGGTGCTTTGGAAGGACAACACTGGCGGATGCTCCTTTGAATCCAAGCCGCATACAGCGGTGACAATGGCACCCAGGGTGACTATCATTGACATCTGTCCAATCTCTGTCTTGTCCCATTGCTCCTCATTCGAAATCCTGAGGCAATTTCAGTGGAAAGTAATCGCGCCATGGTGAAGGCTGGGGCAAGGAAGAAAGCCTCCTACCATGTCCTACCATTTCTCTATCAAGGCACAGGCCGCACCAAATTCAACCAACGGATTGCAGCAAAGGACATTTTGGGAACAGCCAAAATGAGCCAAAGGTTTCATCAAATTGACCGCAACAAATTGTGCCCCACTTGCAAAAGCTCAAAGTGTCCGTGCAACTTTCTCCGAGCGGCACTGCGGAAGCCATGGCAATCAAAAGCTGAGCAGTGGCAAGCAGCCCCAGTTCCTGAAGCAAGTTGCAGATCCAAGGTGTGCAATGTGTGCAAGTAGCAACGGTGGCAACGGGTGGCAATGTTTGACTCCACCTTAGCCATCCTTGGCCCACATGGTTAAGGATTTCAATCTGACACCAGGCTTCGCTCCAATTCCAGATTTGTTGGCGATATGGATGGAAGATGCCATACAAACACATGGACGCGCAGGTGATGACCGTCAGCCCGGTCATCTGCAGCGCTGGGAAGGTTGTGCTCGGATAAAATGCAGCTGCCGTGGCGAGAAGCACTTTCCTGGCTACGCTTCGTACAATGTTTTACATAAACCGTCAAACTCGTCAGGCTACCAGGATTGTGCGTTTGGACAAGCTGCTGCAAAATGCAAAAAAAAAGGGTTCGATTATGAGCCAGCCAGCCAGCATGAAAAATAGATTTCCTACAGGCCATGTTTCCTGCGACCTGTTAGAGAGGGCAATCCCGGCGTTTCTTCTACAAACTGGTCAAATTTCAAACATGAAATACAAAAACTTCGCAGATTTCCTGATACCAGGGCTCATTTTCTGAATTGTTTTGTTGTCAAAGCTGTTTCAAATCGGCAATCAAAATAAATAATAATTGCTGTCCTAACCAGTCGCTCGGCTTCAAAGTACCGCCGCCCCTGGCAAGCAAGAATGAGCACGCCCTTGGCCCTTCGAAAAACGCACCTATAAAATTCTTCTGGAGACCCAAAAAGACTAGACTTCCGTATTGTTCCTTGTGACTCTGTCCCGCAGCTGAATATCTTCACGACAAATACAATTCATTTGACCGTATTCGACCATATTTGATGTGCCATACATTGCCATACTGTGCCATTGTTCACACGTCTGCACATTTCCCTGCCATTTCTGCACATGTCGTGTTCATGTCATGTTCATGTCGTGTTCATGTCGTGTTTTCGTCATTTTTGTTTCGCCTCTCCATATTTGTTGGTCAGGAACGCCACGTGGGGAAGCTCGTGAAGCTTGTCCTCCTTAACCTTGGCTCAGCGTGACCACCCACACGAGCTGATTTTCGCGTTGCAAGATGTTGGAAAAACGCATCGGCGCATCGGACGCTGTCGATTTTGCCAAACCCAACTCATGTCCACTTTCATATCATGTCATATACTTTCATTAGAAAAACACATATTATATTCTTTCATGATTCTTTCATGATTCTTTCATGATTCTTTCATGATTCTTTCATGATTCTTTCATGATTCTTTCATGATTCTTTCATGATTCTTCATGATTCTTTCATGATTCTTTCATCCTTTAAACTCGCAAATTGAAATCTTCCAAGACGCTGAAGTCGAGAGCAGGATCCACACAAGCCTCAAAATCCAGAGGATTCCAGAGGTTTGTGGTGAAAAGCTCTCATCGTGGCTTTGTTCTGTATGCCTACAGTTTCCGGAGAAAGCGACAGAGCTGCAATGGGATTCGAATCAACTTGGCCTTGTTGGATCCTTTTTGTTTACATTCACTGCAAAATTGTAAGAATTCCAGTCAAAAAACCAGTGAAGACTTATGATTGAAAGCAATTTGGGCCAAGCATTCCAAAAATCTGGACCTCGGCCGGTCATTTTTTCATTCAAATTCTTTGCAGAGTAAGGAACAAGGACACCGCAAAGACGGTGAGGAACCCGGCCCCAACCTCACCATTGGCTGGTCAGGGTCTTCTGATGTCTTCTGGTTTCCGAACAAACTACCACGGTCGCTGCATAACTGGGAGGCAACGCATTGCAACTCGAATACTGAGCCGGGTGCTGCAAGGAAGCCAAGAAGATTGCCGAAAGGCAGCGGCA